CAATGATTTTTTTTTATGCTAGCGCTCTCTGGAAACACATGTTCTAAATGAAATAGGCCAAAACACTGAACTTGGCAAGTTAAATGGAATCAGCACTTCCAGGATACCTGATGCAGTGCACTGACTTGACACTCCCATCACCAGTGTGCTCTGACCAGAGCATCTATAGCAAAAGTAACTTCCCAAATTTTCCTAACTTATACGACACATTTTTTCTAGATGAGTAGGATTTCTTGGGGTGGTGTCAAAGATGGCACAGTCCTTGGCTACAACAGGGCAGGGAGCACTCCAGGACAAGACAGGCAGATTTCTCTCGGCACAGGATATAGGACACTCAACGTTCAATCATGAAATGCCAGTGAGACACTTGCTTTTTACACTGCAGTGAACAGAAGCAGCCTCTGACTCCTCTGACACACAATGCAGGTTGGAGTGGAGGTGGAAGAGGTGGGTTTTTCCCAAAGCTTTTTTTCCTTCTGGGAAAAAAGAAATACCACCAAAAAAACCCCAAAAAACCCAAACCACCAACACACACCACTCACAAGAAAAACCCAAACCAAAAGAACCAAAAAAAGAACCAAAAAGCCTGAAAACAGAAACACTGTACACCAAAACAAAAACCCAAACAAAAACCAACTAACAACCCATAAATGACCGGTTCCACAGGTTCCTTTGGTTGGCTCCTCGCAGAGATATAATTATCAACTGCTACTATAGCCCTAATTCCCCCGAGAGAAATAGGAGTAACTTTAACAAAAACTCTTAATTTCTATGAAAAAGTATTTCAAAGCTTTTAAGAACCAAGATTAACCAATTATTATTTAGAACTCTATTTCTGTAGCATCTTGGTAAACTAAAGTTTTCTTCTCCTCAATCTCAAAAAATAAGGCTAATAGACAGGAAAAGAACAGCTTCCTAAAATGCTCCTTAACTTCCATTTTATTGGAACAGGACTTGAGTTTCAAGAGATATTCAACAGCCCTCATTTCAAAGAAAAGGTGAAAATCGGTCATCAGTTTAAAGCTCTACACATTCAGACACGACAAGGGTTGTTTAAAAACGTTATGGTCAGCCACAACGCTAAAAAAAGAACCCAACCACACCCAAACCACAATAATGAGAGTGCTGCTGAAGTCCTACAGATACACATGTTTTGTCCTACTGGCTTAAATACTTTTGTAAATACCAGCAAACGGATACCATTACTGCAATTAGAGTTCTTCACCGGCTGCATTCTACAAGCCCCACAAAAAAGGACTCCTGAATAAATTAATGAAGCAATTTCATCTCTGCTTCCGAGTGCACTGCAGCTTTTGCATTAACAAAAAGCTACAGAAAAATATTTTTTAAGATACAAGATCGTATTCGTATGTGGATGAATATGTACATGGTAGGCATCGGCATCGAGAGTTACAAGAACTCATAAATCAACCCTTGTGAACAAGTATTTGAGACGTACTGAGTGACAGATAAAGGAAATCAGAAAAATCTGGGGGTTTTTGTTTCGTTTATTGAAATACGAGCAGCAGTATGCAAAAAAAATCTTTAAAAACGTAACACAGCAAAACCTAATAATTTTAAAATTAACGAACTAAAAATATGTTTAGAGTTAAGTGTAAAAAACCCTCATTGCTAGGACTGTGATTCCTACAATGTAAACAAAAACATAAAGGTTATGCTTGCAACAAACACAGAAGCAGGTTTATGGAGCAGCAAACTTATGCAACGTTATGTCGCAACCCGACGGTCGGTCTACTGATTTGAATTCAGAGTGGGCTGCCTACCTAAACAGAAACTTCACAAGGACAGAAACCCACTAGTCACACGTTTGTCTTTTGAAGAAAAACATTTGGTAAGAAGTTTTGGTATGGCTGTTTGGTTTTTCTGTATGTTGTTTTTTTTTCATGTGTGGTTGTTTTTTTCTGAAAACCATTACTAGCAACACCTTGAGCAACTAAAACAATATCCTGAAATAAAAACATTATTTCAAGCTAGGGAGAAAGCCTGACACATTTCAACGTTCCCTAGCCTTGCGCTGCAAGAGTACCTGCCCAAGAACTGACAACTGCCACACTGTAATTTCGTGGGGGTGGGGGGAATCAGAGCTTCAAGAAAAACTCAGAAGAATTCCAGTATTTCAAACAATTCTATACCAAACCGTAACACATGGGCTGTTTCATCATTCTTTTGACTGCTGGGCTGTTCTGTTAGATTTGTCTCTCATCAGTCGGTCATACTAGAAAGTTTTATTTTGGTCCTAGAGATACTATAACCCAGTATCATCCTCTCACGTACAACTACTTCACGGCCTAATGCAACTAAAAGAACTTAATACCTACACAAGGCACTGGATTGACTGCCAGCAAGACTGAAGTCCTCTACAGAGCAATATTCAAGCTACCGTCTTAGTGACTATAAAAGCAAACCCAGAAAGAACTTCATTATACATCTGCTCTAGCCTCTTTGCTGGTATTGCCAAAGCTGTTAGTTAATGCTGTGGTTGGTGCAGAGTAGAAAAACGCTCAAAAAGAAGAAAATACTACAAAAGCCAAAACCATTTTCACTGAAGCGTAACATTCAGTCTACACTGAGCCACACTGGAAAGCTCCATCTTCTACTACCACACTAGTAAGAGATTCAATTTCTCCACCCCTCCATCTATAAAAAAGTGACATAACACACAAGCAAGCTGCAACAGAAGCAGCACTCTCTGCTACCGCTATACTTGAAATACCATTAGGGTTCAAGCAGTTCTCCTCCAGTCCATCCATGCACTGGTATCTGAATTTTGTATCAGCAGCACAGATGAACTAAACATGATTAGGAACACCATGAATCAGCAGCACACAAAATTTGCTAACTAGAAAGCTCTCAAAATCCTACATAAAAGGAACAGAAAAGTAGAACACAGACAAAACTAACTTGGTCTGCTCTTGGAAGCCTACCCTGGCACAATCAGCAGTCACAAGGATATCCATATCAAGAATATGTACACAAGCAGAAAAATTCCAGACTACTTTAGTACTTAATGACAGTATCAGACGTGGCTTAACTGGATATTATTGCAGAAATCATGGTTCAGTGTACGGGCAGCCAATCTAACCACAATACTAGCACTAGGCACCAGCTCATGAACACCCACTTCAGCACCCATTCTTGAATCACGTAGCTGGCCACATCTAAACATAAAAGTGAAGAGATGAAGCCAGGTGAAAAACGTTTTCGATAAAGTAAAATCTTGCACCTACAAATGAGATCATTCCTTAATCCGATATGGCATGACACTTATTATAAAAATTAGGCAAGGAAAAAAAAATCCTGTAGTGTCCAATACACATCTTCAACCCTGACAAAAGTCAGGTCTGGGGAGAAGACAATAGAAGCCCGACTCTGTGGCCAACTGACTTTGCATCTTATTTGCTCAAAAGAACCATCTGTGGGTTGCAGTTCAAAAAAGAATGAAAGAGAAGACCCCAAAGGTGAGTGGCAAATGATATTCCCCTTCTCCTGAAGATGCGCTTGTTTTTAAGCACACTTAAGAAACTGCTTAAGAAACCCCAATACAAAAAAAAATATAAACCAAACAAACAAACAAAAAAAACCAAAAACCCAAACCCACAAAACACCAAGTAACACAGAAATTCCTGTACAAAAGAACATGAGGGCTCTGCAGAAGTGTTACAGTTTATTCCTTTAAGGCATTTCATAAGAAACATTTTAATGACACGTAAACAATTTTATTCCTTTAAGATAATTTGTTACTTAGGTACCATGTGATGCACGATTTCCACATTTGAGCAGAAACTGTCATTCAACAGAAGACACAAGAACCTGCGCAAGCAATCAGTATCTCAGGATTGCAGTAATTAACTGCAACATATCTTTTAATAAGTATTTTCATTTTAGAGTTTTCAGCCTCCCCCCCAGCACTGAACCCTGTTCTGAAGAAGTGTTTGGGAAAGAGAAAAAGGAGGGTGAGAAGTTAAAAAATACAATAGGTCTTTTTCTGCATGCAAAGAAATTTTGTATACAATTCACTTCTAATTCTGAGAATTTTCCTTTCAGCCTCCTTTTTTATTATTTAAAGGGGAAAAATACGCATACATTATTTAACTGATTTCTTTTAGTGTTTAGTACAGTGTTTAAATTCTCTACTGAGTAATACAACAGCATAGGCAACAAGATTCTTTACACATGAGAGAGAAATTTCATCATTGTATTAATGCAGTCCTTCAATCCCATAAAGCTGCCAACTACAGTTACGAGTCCTCTGACTGAACACCTGCCATCAGGGGCAGGATCAAGACCACTATTTCACGTAGGCTACAGAGAAGTGATTACTTTTGGTCATTACCAACAGGTCTGTATTAAATTACATGATCTGGAAGTAAAAGCTTCTGCATTCAGTTACTAACTTGCTAAGCCACTCAGTCTTCAAAGAGAGACAAACCCATACTGAAAGTGAATTAAATACAGTGTAAGCACTAATACTGTGTAATGTCTACTGAGAGATTAAAGAGGCCTAACAGAGATCAATTCCAGACAGGTAAAATAAACAGCTAGAACACTGAGAAGAAAACAAAACAACTTATTCCTTCCAAAAAGTAGTAAGCACTGCCATTTACAAATAGTAGTGTTTATGTTAAAACAGAGAAGGGTACCTAAAAAGAAATAGCCTTGGCAACCAAATCCAAATGGTATGAGTGTAAATCAAAGCAAAACAAGAACTACTACTCCAGAAACGTGCAAGATGTTTACTCTGTATCAATTACTATTTAAAATGGTGGTTATAAGAGATATTACAAAACTGAAGTGGGAAAAGGCTAAGAACTGCTATTCTGCATTAATAAACAGTGTGTTTATGACAGCATTTTCCAATAGACAAAACAAGTGTTTTACACCACTCCAACATTTGTAAAAAGTATAGTTCATGTGTACACTTAGAAAAAAAAAAATCACATTGTTCAATCTGAGGCAAATTAGCCATAATAAAGTCTAATTTTGCTTATGACAGATGTCAACCTTAAGATGTTAAACAACTATGCTAAAAATACAGCTTGTAAGCTGGAGCTGCACATGTTCAAACAGTATCATAAACGTTTTAAAAATAAAAAATCCCAAACTATGATATGTATTTATTTTCTGAAGTCAGTCTTCATAATTCCTGTCCCTACAGGACAAAAGGAAAAAGATTTTCCAGTTAAGACATATGCCTGGTTAAGTTCTACTCAAAGGAGGGGAAAAGGGTTCTGAATTTTTCAATACTTTTTTTTCCTCTTAGGGCTCAACTGTCACTTAAGCATCACAAGAACAAATTGAAATGTAAAAATGATTAGCTATACACAATGAAATTGGTCACAAAGGGATTTTAAAAAAAAAAAAGTTAAATCATAAGATCCATCCTCCACATAGCTCACAGTATCCACGCTGGAAGTTTCTCTAAAATTAGAATAAGTTCACTAAAAAAATAAGGCTGAAGATGGAATTTCAGCACTATGAAACAGATGAGATGGGATTAAGAGGAGAACCCATTTGTGTAAGTACTTTATCCAGCCACTGGAGAGGCCCATGAAGATGAATTTCTATCCAGCATGGGGTGCTCGTGACATCTTGTCGGTGATATTCAGCTCCCCAGCCCTATAAAAATGAACAGAAAGTTATCGGTCAAGTTGAGGACATGCTTGTCTTTCAAAATAACTGTACTAACAAGAAGCAGGAAATCATGTTCTAAGATACTTATCTGAAGGCAAGTATCAATCAAGTAGTAACAAAGTAAGTAGCAAGTAACAAACTTGACTGAAGCAGGTAACAATCTAGCAATGCTTTTATCTAAAGGAGAAAACTGAGGTTGGGGAGGAGTGCCGGAAAGCTGCACCCGGAGGCCCCAATCAAGTTTCGTCTGGTGCAGACTTGGAGCAACCACACGAGCTCTGCTGTGGAGCACACTGCTGACTCAAGAATGACTCCTGGCTATGGCCACATCTCTTTTCTGTTTCTCCCCCCTGCTCCCTATCCTCCACACTCTCAAACCAAGCAGTACTTAACATAATTGACAAAACCAACAAGACATCTTCTGGACAAGATGCAAAAAAATCTCTGGAAGCCGCAAGTCTAGATTCCATGCTAAATGTAAAATGGACAGCACCTTGCTTAAACGTTGAGAAAACACTACTTCTTAAATTCAAGTCATGTCTTTTTTCCATAATCAAATTTTTTAAAAAAATAAAATTAATCTTGTGATGGAGTTGCAACTTTTTCTGCAATCACTTATGCTCCTCTCTGTTCCTATTCTTAGTGGTCTTGTAGGTCACTTTGCTCCTTCAAATTTAAAGCACGAGCTCAAATCTCCTTTAAGAAAATTACAGCAACCATAATGATTCAATCCCTGCCCTGAATACTGAAGTAACTAAACACACAGCCAACATTCAATACAGCGATCTGTGCTCTTCCCCTCTGACGTCTATTTCCCTCTCCTCAAATTAACCATTTTCAACATACTTACTAAAAAGAACCACATCAGGTGAGAAGATCTTTGCTACATTGTTACAGTGCTAACGTAATTACTGCTGAACACCCAAATCCCCAGTAAACTTAAATACCCTCAAAACGATTTATTCACCTTTACAAAACTCATTCGAATGGTGCACATTTTGGTGAGCTCATATACTGCTTCAAATCCATGGTTGACAGACTGAGCTAAAAGCTGAGCGAACTCCTGATTGTTAAAAATTTTCAGACTGCATCCACTAGGAATCTTGCATACAGTTGTCGGATGAAAGCCATGGTGGTAGTTGCAGTTCCTGCTCTGTACAAAGATGCTGCTGTCACTTAAACACTCGGCATAGACTTCCCCACCAACATAGTAGAGATGAACTCCTTAAAAACAAAGATAAAAGGGCTTCAAATTACTTTTCCCCCCAAAATACAGTGCTTAATACAATCTCTTTGAATTCAGAAACAAACAATACATTTTCTGTTTGAGGAGCTTTTCAGAAAAGTTCTTTTGGCCACTATAACCACTTTCTCATTTCAAAATACGGAAGGCTTCATTATACATTAGCCACTAGATGTCCTTCTCTCATCAATTACAGAAAAAGCTACTTCCATGCATCAACAGTTATTTCAAGCTATTTTCCTAGAGAACTTATGTGGATTTTAAAACGCCAGATTTTTAAAACTGGTAGCTTCTGCCTATG